ATATATATATATATATATGAAAAATTCAACTATCATCCCCCATATCAACTTAAACGAAATATATGATCTTCTTGTTGTCTAGAACACCTACTTATAATAGAAAAATAATTAATGTAGTCGATTGTCATAGCAAATACATCTTTACTTTATCGATAATCTTACCGAAGAATGTGATATGGGAAAATGACTGGCCTTCCTTGAAATTCGCATTTTACCTACGACCCAAGGGCACTCGTGACAATGTGGCTTAGTGGTTAAAGTGTCGGGATTATACATTGCCATTCCATGGTTCGAGTCCCGCTGGGGATGTTGATGAGACATAGGCAAGGTCGAAATAGCAGTACACTCTAGATGGGAATAAATTTGGGGAAAGCAGAACTAGGTGAAATTCAATGGAAACTTAAGGTCTACTCATATCATTATAGAAAAATTCAATTACCAGTTCCATTATCATCTTAAACGTAATTGGATGTATACATTTCACCTGTTCTGTGATACACAAGCCATGCAGTCTAGTTGTACTGGTCGCTAATTTAAGCACACAACCGACCTTTTGGCCTCGATGGGGGTGCTGATGATAGTCAGGTGATTTCGAAAGCACAACCCATCCCGGATGAGAGTACCTTTTGAGAGTAACATGCAATGGCGTCATTTTGGGAAATTTCCCTCTCAGCCCTTGAATCACCTTGAGTGACTGAGGGCAACTGAAGTCCATATCCTAGACGAATGGTTCAGGCGAACTGACCTGATACACTATGACCATAATCAAGTTGATGTAGGTATACCTTTCATTCTGTTTGAAGAGGCAAGTGGAGGGGATTCGAAAGAGGGCCCACCGAAAACCTTGGAGCTGTGACGAGAGATTTGTGCGATTAAGTCCTCTACTCACCCTATCGCGTGACCGATAAATCTTTATTGAGTACTCGTCTGCCATGTGACGGGCATCATCAGAGGAGGACACTATTTTTTACGAAAATTCACCTTTCTTATCTTCATAAGACATGGTGCTCTGTTGTGAAGATGTCCGTCATATGTTGGACAAAATAACAGTAACGATTCGTCAGAGTTTCGAGACACTGAGCCAAGGACTTATTCGCACAATCTTGCAGTCACAGCTCCAAGGCTTCTGCTTTCAGCGAGACCAATTTGTGTATCTCTTACACCCGCTTCATCAAACGAAATAAAAGTTATTTTTACCAACATCAAACTATTCAGGAACTCTTCGAAACCCAACTTTTCTACATGCATAGTTATCATAAGTATGCATTTTATCAAAGTATCTTGATTGAGTGATAGTTGAATTTTCTCAATTATCATCATGGAAAACTAAACTATCAGTCCATTATCACTTTATGCGACCTGGCTGAATATAGTTCTCGTAATCGGTTATGTTGCAGTACTTTAGATTCTATTTGTGTGCAAAAAGGGGATGAGAGAGTGGGACTCGAACCGGTGAGTTTGACATTCGAGTGTGTGCAAACCTTCAGCTCTACATGCAAGCAACCAAGTCTACTTGCAATTGGCATAACTGATTGTCGTCAAAGTCGTCTACTCCGAGTCTTGATCCCGACCGTGGCCAAACATGTCTGCCAATGTGTAATTCTGTAGGAACAGATTGCAACTATACATTTTCACTGTACCATGAATATGTTTGCGACTAGTTTGGCTCATTTCTTTGCGGCCAACAGCGCTCGGCCAGTTCGCTTTGTCAAGTCATTCATGAGATCTAAATCATTTCAGGCCGGCCTATCGACCGAAGCTCAGACGCCACACGCTTCATTCGATCGATCCGAACCCTCCTCGCGCCTACAGGACTGAATAGTGGAGTATTCTCGCAGTCATGTTCGCGGTCGATGCAACAAGAAAGATCAACTGTCAGCTCCTTTCGCATTCAACTGCTTCGTTCACGCTATTCTTCCGAGCTCGACAAGCGATGGCCCCTTCAAGATGGCTTCAGGAGGGATTTCTGGCTGTGAATTCAGCCTCAATGATGGTTTTGCAAAAACCTGTCAGGGAAAAAACTACACAGCGGCATTTAAAGCCAGACTACAACAGCTGATAATCGCCAAAGTGACTAAAAGGATAGGCTGTCTTAACAACTAGTACTAAAACAGTCGATCCCTCCATTTTCTGACAGAGCTTGGAATTTGACAATAATCACTACAGACACTGACAACAGAGCACATCAACAGCACTTAGGCCCAGTGGCATTTGAAAAATTTAGAATTGGCAAAATTGCATCCATAATTTTATTGTTCTTCCTCACACACACATACACACACACACACACACACACAACTTCACATTTCGTTGATTAGTTGTCCAAGTTGGTGTCTCTGCTGGCTGGCAAAATCGCAAGCGGTGCTTACATTTCGGCTACAGGAAAAGAGCCGCTGTTCGATCGTCCAGCCTCGCCTCCAAGACCGAAAAGCCGCCTCAACGATAGCGCGCTGTCATGGCAACATGAACGTGAGGCTTGATGATTGGGCGACAGGAGACGACGGGAAATCCCCTATCAGGCGGGTTGCCTGGCCGACGTGAACCAACTTGGAGAGTGTTGTAATGGTGGTTGGATGGAGAGTGGTGGGGGTGGTCAGTTTCACTTTGTCTGATGTACCGGTGCTGATGGTTTTGGGCGTCGCACTTGTGAACTCCGTTCTGTCCACTTGTGCATGAGTCAGGCGCTGCTGCTCAAAACATGGGCCGATTTGGCACGGAAAGCAGCATTTGAACTGACCATATTAGACGCCTCTCCATATCACAATGGGGTATGTTCGTTGGAAAGAAGATTCAATGAAACAATGCATCGGAGTTTACTTGATGGGTAGACAAAAGTAGACGAAGGTCGGTCTTATTATGTACAAATTTACATACGCCTGGGTGCTTATCTGCGATGCTTGCCTCTTCATCGGTCTACAGACAAGCAGGCCTAACTGCTCTTCATGCTGTATTGCCACAAAGTTGGGCACACTGACAGAAATCATCTCTTTCAGCAGCCTCATTAGGGGGGTATCTCTTATGATTCACCATGAGTTTGTCACCAAAGTGGCAATCTACGGAGAGGCGGCTGCTTGCTTGAAGTTACCTTCTATATGCATCAAAGCAGGGACATTTTCCCACCCGATTAGATACCCTGAATGTTCAAACCCGTCCACTTTTGCTGGAGACAGAGGTTTTTGGGTCGATCTCCCCAGAATACGACAGCAGAATCCACTTGGTCTGCTGCCATTTAGCTTTACTGTGAGGTTCACGGAGATGTAGTCCTCAAATCCTCATCCACTTACAATGACAATGAGCTTAGCTTTCCAATATCATATGACAGTCATCAGCCGAGTTGAACTGTATTAATATAACCATTTCTAGCCTAAACTGAGTCCAATATTCAAGGGGTTAGAGAATAACTACCTTATCTTCTTAAGTGCCGATTAAATGCATAACCGGTTAGTCCATCAATTCATCAATTTCATTCTTTACTATCTGCTTCAATTTAGAGTATGCTCTTCAATCAATCAGTCACTTTTCCAATTATGGATAATTTTCTACTCTTCAA